CCAGAGAGATGATTTCAACAATCATTCCTTTCAAAGGTAAAGATTGGGCTGAGCACAGTGGCTCACACCTGTAATCCCAGCACTTTGGGAGGCCAAGGTGGGCAGATCACCTGAGGTTGGGAGTTCAAGACCAGTTTGACCAACATGGTGAAACCCCATCTCTACTAAAAACACAAAATTAGCCGGGCATGGTGGTGCATGCCTGTAATCCCAGCTACTTGGGAGGCTGAGGCAGGAGAATCGCTGGAACCCTGGAGGTGGAGGTTGCGGTAAGCCAATATGGCAAATTGCACTCCAGCCCTGCCAACAAGAGTGAGACTCCATCTAAAAAAGAAAAGGAAATGTTTTGTTTTTATATTATAAACCTAAAAATTTTAATCACTCAGGATGTTTTCAAATTTAACAATCTTGTGACAAACTATCCATAACATAAAATTTGCCAATCTAACCTTTTTTTTTTTTTTTTTTGAGAAGGAGTCTCGCTCTGTTGCCAGTCTGGAGTTCAGTGGAGTGATCTCCGCTCACTGCAACCTCCAACTCCTGGGTTCAAGCAATTCTCCTGCCTCAGCCTCCCAAGTAGCTGAGACTACAGGCGCATGACCACCATGCCCAGCTAATTTTTGTATTTTTAGTAGAGATGGGGTTTCACCATGTTGGCCAGGATGATCTCGATGTCTTGACCTTGTGATCCGCCCACCTCAGCCTCCTAAAGTGCTGGGATTATAGGCATGAGCCACCACGCCCAACCTGCCTCTTTAGCCTAGGCTGGAGTGGAGTGGTGCCATCTGGGCTCACTTCAGTCTCCACCTCCTTGGCTCAAGCCATCCTCCCACCTTAGCCTCCCGAGTAGCTGAGACTACAGGATCGCACCACCACGACCAGCCAGATTTTTACTGTAGAGACGGGGTTTCACTATATTCCCCAGACTGGTCTCAAACTTGCGAGCTGAATCCATTCACCCACCTCTGCCTTCCAAAGTACTCGGATTACAGGCGCTAGCCACCAGAACCAGCCCATTCTAACCATTTGGAAGTATACGGTTCAGTAGCAGTAAATACACTCACATTGTTATGCAACCATCACCACCATCCATCTCCAGAACTTTCTATGATCCCTAACTGAAACTCTGTAACCATTGAATAACTCCCCTTTTCGCCTTCCCCCAGCCCCTGGCAACCACCGTTCTATTCTACTTTTTGTCTCTGATTTTGCCTCCTCTAAGTCCCTTATACAAGGGGAATCATACAGTATTTGCTTTTTTGTTACTGGTTTATTCCAGGTAACCTAATATCTCAAGGTTCATCTGTGTTGCAGCATGTGTCAGAATTTCCTTCCTTTTTAAGGCAGAATACATCTGAGCACGGTGGCTCACGCCTGTAATCTCAGCACTTTGGGAGGCCAAGGCAAATGGATCACCTGAGGTCAGGAGTTCAAAACCAGCCTGGCCAACATGGCAAAACCCTGTCTCTACTAAAAATACAAAATTAGGGCCGTGCGTGGTGGCTCACGCCTGTAATCCCAGCATTTGGGAGGCCGAGGCAGGCGGATTATGAGGTCAGGAGTTCAAGACCAGCCTGACCAACATGGTGAAACCCCCGTCTGTACTAAAAATACAAAAAGTATATAGCTGGGTGTGGTGGTGTGCACCTGTAATCCCAGCTACTCAGGAGGCTGAGGCAGGAGAATTGCTTGAACCCAGGAGGTGGAGGTTGCAGTAAGCCGAAATTGCACCACTGCACTCCAGCCTGAGCAACAGAGCAAGACTCTGTCTCCAAAAAAAAAAAAAAAAAAAATACACAAAATTAGCCAAGCGTGGTGGCGCATGCCTGTAATCCCAGCTACTCTGGGGAGGCTGAGGCAGGAGAATCGCTTGAACCCAGGAGGCGGAGGTTGCAGTGAGCCAAGATCACGCCATTGCACTCCACCCTGGGCAACAAGAATGAAACCCTGTCTCTAAATAAATAAATAAATAAATAAGCAAGCCGGGCATGATGGGGCACACCTGTAATCCCAGCTACTCGGGAGGCTGAGGCACAAGAATCACATGAACCTGGGAGGTAGAGGTTGCAGTGAGCCGACATCTCACCACTGCACTCCAGCCTGGGTGACAGAGAGAGACTGTGTGTGGGAAAAAAAAACTTCCTTCCTTAAGAAGATAGAATAATATTCCATCATATGGCCAGACCACATTTTGCTTATCCATTCATCTGTTGGCTATTTGGGTGTTTCCAACTTTTGACTTAGTGAGTGCACTGCTAGCAACATGGGTATACAGCTCACCCAGGATATTTTAGAAGATTTTTAGCATTTATCTCCAAAAGTTTATATTTATTTAGATGACCTTGATATGGACAACATATTCAGCTGGAAGGTAGAATACATACACAGCTTCTAAATTTTTTTTTTTTTTTTAAGACAAAGTCTTATTGCCCAGGCTGGAATGCAGTGAGTTGATCTCAGCTCACTGCAACCTTTGCCTCCCAGGTTCAAGCGATTCTCCTGCCTCAGTCTCCCAAGTAGCTGAGACTACGGGTGTGTGCCACCACACCTGGCTCATTTTTGTATTTTCAGTAGAGACAGGTTTTCAACATGTTGGCCAGGCTGGTCTCGAACTCCCGACATGAAGTGATCTGTCCGCCTCAGCCTCCCAAAGTCCTGGGATTACAGGTGGCAGCCACCATGCCCGGCCTAAAAAATTTCATAACATCAAATTGGTAAAAATGTTCAAAACTTAATGCTCAGAATAACCAGACCTGGTGAGTTTATCATTTATTGTACAAGCATTTTTTCTGTTTGTTTTTTGAGACAGAGCCTCACTGTGTCACCCAGGCTGGAGTACAGTGGCACGATATGGGCTCACTGCAACCTCCACCTCCTGGGTTCAAGTGACTCTCCTGCCTCAGTCTCCCGAGTAGCTGCAATTACTGGCGCCCACCACCATGCCAGGCTTTTTTTTTTTTTTTTTTTGTATACTTAGTAGACAAGGGGTTTCACCATTTGGGCCAGGCTGGTCTTGAACTCCTGACCTTGTGATCCACCCAGCCTTGGCCTCCCAAAGTGCTGGGATTACAGGCGTGAGCCACCGCGCCCGGCCAAAGGTATTTGTTTTAATCATCTTAGGAGTTTTATGTCATTCAGGCTCACTACAGCCCCAACCTCCCAGGCTCAAGCGATCTTCCCACCTGTGTCTGAATAGCTAGGACTAGAGGCTGACGCCCACCATACTTGCCTAATTTTTATCCTATTTTTGATAGAGTTAGAGTCGCTCACTTTGTTGCTGAGGCTGGTCTCGAACTCCTGGCCTTAAGCAACCCTCCTGCCTCAGCCTCCCAAAGTGTTGGGATTATAGGCATCAGCTGCTGTGCCTGCAGTTTTGTTTTGTTTTTTGTCTGTTTTTGAGACAGTCTTCTCTGTCACCCAGGCTGGAGCACGATGGCATGATCTCGGCTCACTGACATCTCTGCCTCCTGTGTTCAAGCAATTATCCTGCCTCAGCCCCCTGAATAGCTGGGACTACAGGCATGTGCCACCACACACAGCTAATTTTTGTATTTTTAGTAGAGATGGGGTTTCACCATATTGACCAGGCTGGTCTCGAACTCCTGACCTTGTGATCTGCCCACCTTGGCCTCCCAAAGTGCTGGGATTACAGGCATGAGCCACCGCACCCGCCCTACAATTTTTACATCTGTAATTTTTCAACATAGCAAATGGGAAAATACACTAAGTAGATCAAATGGTAGATATAGCTCTTTTCAGCTGTGAGTGGGAGAAAAAGTTAAGGCACCTAAGGGAGATGAATAAAAATGCTAGGGTGTCTGTCACTTTCACAGTGAGGAGGGCTGAGCAGTCTGTTGGAGAGAGTGGCTTTTCTTTTTTTTGTGTGTGTGAGACAGAGTCTCGCTCTCTCACCTAGGCTGGAGTGCAGTGGTGCAATCTCGGCTGACTGCAACCTCTGCCGGCTGGGTTCAAATGGTTCTCCTGCCTCAGCCTCAGTAGCTGGGACTATAGGCATGCACCACCATACCCGGCTACTAATTTTTTTTGTATTATTAGTAGAGACGGGGGTTTCAGCATGTTGGCCAGGCTGGTCTTGAACTCTTGACCTCAGGTGATCCACCCTCCTCGGCCTCCCAAAGTGCTAGGATTACAGGTATGAGCCACCGCGCCTGGTAGAGTCTTTTCTAAACCATGACAATTCCCTGGTAATTTAGCTTCAATTACTGTCACCTGTTAGGATTACCGTGCGCACTGTTAACGTCAACTGAATCAAATCCTCTTTCCATGACTGCTGCCTAACAAGAATCCATCTCAGCTGGCCTGGTGGCTCACGCCTGTAATCACAACCCTTTGGGAGGCCGAGGCAGGTGGATCACCTGAGGTCAGGAGTTTGAGACCAGCCTGGCTAACACGGTGAAACCCTATCTCTACTAAAAATACAAAAATAAGGCAGGTGTGGTGGTACACGCCTATAGTCCCAGCTACTCCAGAGGCTGAGGCAGGAGAAACTCTTGAACCTGGGAGATGGAGGTTGCAGTGAGCCGAAATTGTGCCACTGCACTCCAGCCTGGGCGACAGAGCAAGACTCAATCTCATTTAAAAAATAAAATAAAATCGATCTCGCAAAATTGATCATCTCGAAAAGAAATTATTCTCATTTTACTTTAATGATTATCCAAGACCCCAGTATAAGAATTAACCCAGAAGATTTTGTTCACATTAATGGTCAGAGTATAACCCTTTAAATCTTTAAGAAACATGCTTCAGATTTCAAGTTTTGAGAGTTTTTCTTCTACTTGGTCTAGTCTATCATTGAAGCTTTTGAGTTTGCTTTGTATTTCTTCCAGTGATTTCTTCAGTTTCAGAAGTATCCTTAGGTTGCTTTTAGGAATATCACTGAAGTTGATCATTTTTTCCTGTAGAACGCTAACTACTTCCATCTCTTTTTTCTGTTCTTTTCCAAATGATGCTTGCATTATGCCCATCAACTGTATAATCTCTATGTTCAATTCTCTCTCCAAAATATCTTGTGTTTCTTTTGGATGGGGATCTGCTGCTGGCGAATTACTGGGTTCCTTTGGAGGCGGCCCATTTCCTTGCTTTTTCATGTTTCCTGTGTCCTTCCGTTGAGATCTGTGCATCCTGTGAAAGTGGCTTCTTCCAAGTTTGTGAACTCGCTTTGTAGGGGAGGACTTCTTCCTGAAAATGTAGATAGGGTGATGGTTAGGTGGGGCACTTTGGCTTTGATTTGGGGTAGTACTGTAGGCTCTGTATGATTTCTTGGGTGGCTTAGGGTGTGGTTATCAGTGGAGGCTGTGGTTGCTGGGGATTAGGAGGCTAGGTGGGCCAGTCTTTGGGCCCCAGTGGTGTCCTGATCTTACCTATTCTTTAGCCCCAGTGTATGCTGGCTCTGTTATTAGCGGGTTGTGGGGAGTGACTCGTGTGCCTCTAGGTGTCCTGCTCTAATGCTGGTAGTGGCAGCCACTGGCTGGGGGTGTGGCTAATCCCAGGCGCCGGGGCAGTGGGTAGCTGCAGTTGGCGGCGGGGGTGGGGAGGGGGGACGGACGGCAACCCTCCGGGACCCAGGCGGTCCCTGCTGGTGTTGGAGGTGGCTGCCCAGGTTGGGAGGGCAGGCGAGTCCCCTGGTCTGCGGTGGTATCCGCAGGCTGGGCCCCTGACCTCAAAAACCGTCGAGGACGGGGAGGAGTGTTCAGCCGCCAACGGTGGCGGAAGAGGCCGAATAGTAACCAATCCCCAGACCCCTGGCCCCAGTGCTCAACTCCTCAGGAGGCGAAACTGCCAGCGGACTGTACCGAGGGCCCCAGGGTTCCGTGGCTAGCTAGGACGGACAGGGAAGGACTGGTCCCCAGGAAAGCTCAGGCGGGTCAGAGAAGGCAAGCGGTTGGCTCGCGTCTGGGTCCCGCGGCGGCGGTGGGGTTGTTTGTCCTTTCGGACGTATGAAAGCGTCCGGCCTCCCCGCTCCCTCCCTGGCCCTCCCTTGGCGGGGGCTGCAGCTGCAGCTGCTCAGGGCAGGGAAGCCCGTGGGCTCCACGTGGGCTCCTGCAACGCCGCTGGGGAATCTCTCGGCCGCTGCCCTCGATTCTGGAGGTCAGCGAGGGTCAGGGGGCTGTGGAACTCCGTGGGGGGACTGCGGAGCCTCGGGGTCTCTCACTCACCCTTTCCCCGCGCGCAGGAGCTACAGGCCGTCCCCGCCGATCCGATTTCTCCGAGCAGGCTGCCTAGGTGCCTTTGCTGCACTCCTCGGGCTCCCTGTGGCTTCTCGGCTGAATCCCGCGTTCTCTCAGCCGATCTGCTGCAAGTGCGAAAACCTACTGTCTCCTTCGGTTCCCGTCGGAGGAGAGGCGCGTGCCGGGTGCATCTACCAGGCCATCTTGAGTCTGTGGGAACGGGTCCTAATGGCGCCAGTTACTCAAGGGCGTTCCCTGGAGGGTCCGGGTCAGCCCCACCCCCTTCACTCTCGGGAAGGCCCCGCCCTCCCCTTCCAGACTGTCCGCAAGCTCCGTGTGCACACAGGTGTGTTTGCTAATAGAAATAGGACTATTCGGCCGGGCGCTTGAACCCGGGAGGCGGACGTTGTAGTGAGCCGAGATCGTGCCACTGCACTCCTACCTGGGCGACAAGAGCTAGACTCCATATCAAAAAAGAAAAAATCATTTACGTTGATGTATGCGTTTTTATGGATGCTTTATTATTATTATCATCATCATTATTTTGAGATGGAGTCTAACTCTGTCTCCCAGTCTGCAGTGCAGTGGCTAGATCTCAGCTCCTGCAAAGCAAAAACTCCCTCTCCAAAAAAAAGAAAGATGAATTAACATGCCAGGGTGTGCTTGGCACAGTGTGGTTCACCCCTGCAATCCTAGAACTTTCGGAGGCTGAGGCAGGCAGATCACTTTGAGTTCAGGAGTTCAAGACCAGACTAGGCAACATGGTGAAACCCCGTTTCTACAAAAAGGTACAAAAATTAGCCAGGAGGCTGGGCACGGTGGCTCAGCCCCTGTAATCCCAGCACTCTGGGAGGCCCAGGCGGGCAGATCACCTGAGGCCAGAAGTTCAAGACCAGCCTGACCAACATTGGGAAACCCCATGTCTACTAAAAATACAAAAATTAGCTGGGCGTGGTGGCGGGTGCCTGTAATCCCAGCTAATCGGGAGGCTGAGGCACGAACCTGGGAGTCAGAGGTTGCAGTAAGCCATGATCGCACCATTGCACTCCAGCCTGGGCAACAAGAGCGAAACTCCGACCAAAAAAAAAAAAAAAATTAGCCAGGGGTCATGGCTTATGCCTGTAGTCCCAGCTACTTGGGAGACTGAGACTGGATAATGGCATGAGCTTGGAAAATGGAGGCTGCAGTGAGATTGCACTACTGCACTCCAGCCTGGGATACAGAAAGCCCATGTCTGTAAATAAATAAATGCTACAGTGTTTGTCAGGTTTACAGTGAGGAGGGCTGACATGTAGCTGTGTGGGCAATCTGTTAGAGACAGGAGTGGCTTTTCTTGACCATGACAATGTCCTTCAGCTACATTCACCTGTTACGATTACTGTGCCAACTGAATTCGGTACTGATCAGATTCAGTAACTGAATCAGATCATCTTTACACAACTGCTGCATGATAACTCATCTTGCAAAATCGACTATCTCTAAAGGAAATTATTTTTATTTTGCTCTAACGATTACCCAAGACCCCAGAATAACAATTAACCCAGCAGGTTTCGTTCACATTAATGGCCAGTGTACAACCCATTTTCTTTAAAGTGAGAAAAATGTTTCAGATTTTGTGTCCTGAGAGTTTTTCTTCTATTTGTTCTAGTCTATCATTGAAGCTTTTGACTGTACTTTGTATTTCATCCAATGATTTCTTCAGTTCCAGAAATACTCTTCTGTTGAATTTTAAAACCTCTTTCTGGCAGGTAATCATCTCATACGTCTCCCCAACTCTTTTCCTCATTTCTTTGTGTTCTCGTTCAAAAGACTCTTCCATGTTGATGACCTTCTTTACAATCAGTCGGGTCAATTCTCTGCTCAATTCTCTGTTTGAGCTTTCCTGAATTTCTTTTGGATGGGGATCTGTTGCTGGAGAATTACTGGGTTCTTCTGTAGGCATCACATTTCCTTGCTTTTTCATGCTTCCCGGGTCCTTCCATTGAGATCTGGGCATCTTGTGGAATAGTCACTTCTTCCAAGTTTGTGAATTCACTTTGTAGGGCAGGACTTCTTCCTGAAGATGTAGATATGATGTGGTTAAGTAGGGGACCTTGGCTTTGGTTTGGGGTGGAAGTGTAGGCTCTGTACATTACTTGAGTGACTTAGTGTGTGGTTATTAGTGGAGGCTGTGCTTGCCTGTTCTTGAGCCCCAGAGCAGTGTATGCTGGCCCTGGCGTTAGTGGGTTCAGGGGAGCGATTCGTGGGCCTTTTCCTGGGCCTCTAGGTGCCCTGCTGGAATGCTGGTAGTGACAGTCCCTGGCTGGGCGTGTGGCTGATCTCAGGCCCTGGGGCAGCAGGAGTGATGGGCGGGAGGGGCAAGCGAGTCCCCTGGCCTGCGTGGTGGTATCGGCAGGCTGTGTCCCAGACCTCAGACCCCGGGGAGGAGTGTTCAGCTGCCAGCGGTGACGGACAAAGCCCGCAGCCACCAGTCCCCAGGCCCCTGGCCCGTGTGCTCCAGTCCTCGGGGGACGGAAATGCCAGCGGATTGTCCTCAGGCCCCCAGGGTTTGGGCTCTGGCTGTGACAGACAGGGAAGGGCTGGTCCCCAGGCTGCGGGCGGAAAGCTGAGGCAGGGCAGGGCGGGCGCGCAGTTGGCTGGCGTCTGGGTCCCGCGTCAGCGGCCGGGTTATTTGTCCTTTGGGACTCCTGAGACCGCCCGGCCTCCTCTCTCCCTCCCTGGTCCTCAGCTGGCTGCGGCAGTTACCGCAGGCAAGGCAGAAGCTGCCCTCGGTGCTGGACTTTTGGGTTGGCGGGGGCTGCAGCTAAAGCTGCTCAGGGCAGGGAAGCCCGTGGGCTCCACGTGGGCTCCTGCAACGCGACTGGGAAATCTCTCGGCCGCTGCCCCCTATTCTGGAGGCCTGCGAGGGTCGGGGGCTGTGGAAGTCCGTAGGGAGACTGCGGAGCCCCGGGGTCTCTCACTCACCCTTTCCCCGCGCGCGGGAGCTACATACAGGCCGTCCCCGCCTATCCGATTTCTCCGCGCAGGCTACCTGGGTATCTCTGCTCCGCTCCTCGGGCTCCCAGTGGCTGAATCCCGCGTTCTCTCAGCCGACCTGCTGCAAGTGTGAAAACCTACCAGCTCCTACGGTTCCCTTCGGAGGAGAGGCGCGTGCCGGGTACATCTACCCGGCAATTTTGAGCCAGTGGTCCTAGGTGGGAACGGGTCCCACGTGCGTGGGTTACTCAAGGGCGTTCCCTGGAGGGTCCGATCTGCCCCGCCCCCTTCACTCCCGGGAAGGCCCCGCCCTCCCCTTCCAGACTGGACCGAAAGCTCCGTGTGCACACAGGTGTGTTAGCTCATAGAAATGGGAGCAGACTATTTACACTTTTCCACAAAAGTGTGCGTTTTTCACTTTTTATGCTGGGGATTTGTGTCAGTACTAGCAGAGCCGCGTTGTTCTTTTCTTTTTTTCTTTTTTTTTTTTGAGGGGACAGAGTCTAGCCCTGTCGTCCCAGGCTGGAGTGCAGTCCTGTGATCTCGGCTCACCACAACCTCCGCCTCCTGGGTTCAAGCGATTCTCCTGCCTCAGCCTCCTGAATGGTTGGGAATACAGGCGCACGCCACCAGGCCTGGCTAATTTTTTGTATAATATTTTTAGTAGAGATGGGGTTTCACCATGTTGGCCAGGCTGGTCTTGAACTCCTGATCTCAAGTGAACCGCCCGCCTTGGCCTCCAAAGTGCTGGGATTACAGGTATGAGCCACTGTGCCCAGCAGCAGAACCATTTTCTATTCCATGCTGAACAAACCAGTTTTTGCCACACATGTGTTGAGATGAAACAACTTTCTTTCTATGAGAGATGTCACAGGAGCTCATGAAACAGCCCAATCACAGGAACTCTGTAGTTCAGCATGGCTCAAGTGAGTGTGTGTATGTGAGAGGGACTGTGAATATAGGAGGGTGAATGTGTACATATATGTTTGTATATTTGAGCATGTGGGAGAAGATAAGGGACCAGATGGTGAAGGGCACCTCAGGCTAGGCAAGGAGTTTGGCGTATCTTACAGGCATTAATGTGCCACTGACAGATTTTTTCACTGACAATTAATGTGGCCAGATTTTTATTTTATTTTATTATTTTATTTTAGACAGAGTTTCACTCTTGTTGCCCAGCCTGGAGTGCCATGGAGCGATCTTGGCTCACCACAACCTCTGCCTCCTGGGTTCAAGGGATTCTCCTGCCTCAGCCTCCCAAGTAGCTTGGATTACAGGCATGTGCCACCACGCCCAGCTAATTTTGTATTTTTAGTAGAGACAGGTTTTCTCCACGTTGGTCAGGTTGGTCTCGAATTCCCAACCTTAGGTGATCTGCCTGCCTCGGCCTCCCAAAGTGCTGGGATTACAGACATGAGCCACCGCCCCCAGACTTATATTATTTTATTTTTTGAGACAGAGTCTTGCTCCGTTGCCCAGGCTACCATGCAATGGTGTGATCCCAGCTCATTGCAACCTCCACCCCACGGGCTCCCAAGCAGTTATCATCCCTCAACCTCTTGAGTAGCTGGGATTACATGTGCCCGCCATGTGCACGCCTGGCTAATTTTTGTATTTTGGGGGGTTTCGCCATGTTGGTCAGGCTGGTCTCGAACTCCTGACTTCAGATGATCCATGAGCCTCAGCCTCCCAAAGTGCTAGGATTACAGGCATGAGCCACCATGCCCAGCTCCCAGATTGCCTTCTCTAGGTGTCTGTCTCAGGTCTCCCTCTCTCTCTCTTATACTGACACTTCTAATTGCATCTTCTAGAGCCCACTTGGATAATCCAGGATTATCTTCCCATCTAAAGTTACTTAATCGGGCCAAGCACAGTGGCTCATGCCTGCAATCCCTACACTTTAGGAGTCCGAGACAGGCGGATCACCTGAGGTCAGGAGTTCGAGACCAGCCTGGCCAACATCGCAAAAACCCTGTCTCCACTGAAAATACTAAAATTAACCTGGTGTGGTGGCGCATACCTGTAATTCCAGCTACTCGGGAGGCTGAGGCAGGAGAATGACTTGAACTCAGGAAGCGGAGGTTGCAGTGAGCTGAGATGGTACCACTGCACTCTAGCCCGGGCAACAGAATGAGACTCCATCTCAAAAAAAAAAAAAAAAAAAGATCCTTAATTACATATGCAGAGACAGTTTTTTTCCAAATAAAGTAACACAGGTTCCGGGGATCAGGACCTGATATCTTTGGGGGCTATTATTTAGCCTTCC